CCCGCCACCGCCCAGTCACGCTCCGCTCCCGCAGCCCGGGGTACCGCCGGCCGTTCGGTTCAAGAGACGGTTGAAGCTATAGATCAGTATGCAGGTGTATGCCCGAGGGGGCAGGGACAGCGACATTATAAGAAGGAGCTTCAGAAGTTCTTGTCGAGGACCGTCAGACTGTCGTTGGACCGTAAGACCGCCGGGTTTCAGCTGTATTGCACGTGGGGTCCAGTATTTCTAACGCTGATCACAGTTGTTTTAAATTTACAATCCGTGAAGGCTTGTTTATTTTCCCAAGTGCCACACAAACATCAGCCGAACAGTTCTTGCAAACTTCTTGCGGCTATGGTACGAGGACTGTTAGCTCGACTGGGAAAATAGAGAAACAATTTCCTTAGGCAGCAGCAGAGGCTGCTGTTAGGACTCTAAAACTTTTGAGTAGAATTTCAGATTTTTAGAAAGTTTCTATATGGAAATTAAAGACATTTTACCGTGGCGTGAGTAGCTATTACTATGAAAACCATAATTTTTTTTAATGATAGTGTAAACAAACCAGGAATAAAGGTCATTGAAAAGATTTTTAGCTTGTTTGTCAGTCAACATGTGAATTGCTTTATGTTACAGAATGAGCTGGCGAGTTTCAAGGAGTGTGCATCACAGTGACAGGTAAACCTGGTTGTTTCGTGAAGCCCAGTTTAGCTGTTCACCTCCTCCAGCAATGCCCTGTCTGAAAGCCACGTGGGTTGAAGCCGACGGCAGACGCTGCTGGGCAAGAGATGCTGCTCACATTGCTTGTTCGAGGGGAGAGAACACAGAGGACAGGCAGAGTTCAGCAAGTGACCAAAGGCTCTGATTTCCATCAGAACTCCTTTTGTCTGGAAGCCGGGTCTCAGGAGACCGTTCTTCTTCCTGGCTAAATGGAAAAGAAATACGTGTTGAAGTACAGGGGCTCGGACGAATTCCTGGTTAGACATCTAACTCCCATTCAAATCAACAGGGTATCATCAATTAATCATTTTGCTGACTAAAATTCTGGATGCTGCAATGAGGATGACCATGCAAGTACAGTAGGAACATCTTGCCTGTCAACAGTGTCTTTACAGGCTGCGTAAGTCCAGGAAATATTAAAGCCTACATGCAGTAATGTACCAAAATTTTTGCTTGACATGTAAGATTATCCAGTCACATCTGTATCACATTACAGCGCATTTCTCCTGATTGTCATGTGAAGCAGTATGAAAAAACCTAATAAAAGAATTGTAAAATGCAGGTTTTGCCTGTCCTGAAGGCCTGTCACCCCACTGTAGGACAACAGTAGTCTCTTGCTTTTATACAGCTAGATGCCATCCTCTATAACACGAACTGTGGTGGTACCCTATGAAAATAACTTCACATTACTTCAAAATAAACTTGAAAATTCTGATCCCAATTTTAAAACCCACTTTGCAACTCAGAGCTGCTCCCAAACAGATTTTGACTCAATGCATGACACTGATAAAGGCATTGCTCCTTTTTAAATTCAAGCAATGTATAGCTTTAAGGTTTTGCTTCATTATAGATTTTTGTCATAATCTCTTTTTCAGGCAAGCTGAGAAGTAATAGAAGCAGCAGCAAGCAATAAACATCTGACTTCCAAAGTTCTGTAAGGTATATGGGGTTAAGTTACTCATGACAACAAAAGTATTGTCCGTTCTTGCTATACTGTTTCTTTTTGACAGGGGAGGTCAGTGCAACAGGAAAGAATCCCAACAAAGACACTCAGAAATGTCAGTTACTGCACAATGAGGGCATAAATGTGGAGGAAAGGTGGACGGACACGGAGAAAGGCAGGTATTATTCACCATCTTTCTTAACATCCTCAATATTTTTCTATGGTACTTCAGCGCTTTCAAAAACAACAAAACCCAAACAACACAACTTTAGCCCAGATACTTCCAGATTCTGAGACCTAAATTTAATGCATGTAACAAGTTATTGAAACACTGCTTGTGACTGTAGCTAGTGTTTTTTCATGTTGAAGGCCACATCAGTCTTCATTCTGAGTGACTAACATGCAGCAGTACATTATCATAAATAACAAATCATAAATTGTTAAAAAAATCATAAAGTCTATCATTTTTACAATGATATATTACATGTTAAGGCACAAGCAAGCTTAACACTTGGTAATTTGAGAAGTTTATAAAAAACAGTTGCAAGGAGGGGTTTCTTATGACCAAGATGAAGTTTATAGCACGGTGATTATATTTCACTGTAGCATAAAAGTAGATTGGGGTAGAGGGGGAAGCACAGCGAGTACAGATAACTTACTACTGCATTCGAGAGGTTTTTAAAACTTCCTGGCTCTGCGGCTGTCAGACAGTCTAGCATCTCTGCAGCCCACAGAATGGATTTTTAATTTTTAATTTAACTTTGACAGTTTATACTGCCTTCAAAAGAGCTTTATTCTCTTTGGAAACAGCATTTGTATGCGAGCTGCTATCTGTCTTTATCTTTGATGCACAGCTGTAATATCTAATACTGGAACTTCAATATGTATGTAAAATGCAGTTGGATTCTCAATAATATAAAGTTTTTGTGTTTAGGATGAAGGTCTGGAATTCAGGAGATCTGACACTAACTTTGCTAACACACTTCTGTCTGGCCACTACCACTAACGCAACATTGCAGAAACTTGTAAATATATTAGGAGACTGTGCCTCACTTTTAAAGTGTAGCTTAAGCACATGAAAGGCAGTGTACAAGTCACTTTAGCTGAAAGATAGGCTGCTTTTTTTTTTCTGATACTTTGGTTTTGTTGCACTCATTATTGTCCAGATGCTCAGTAAAATATTGGCCTAATTATCTGAAAGGCTTAACTTAGCCTAGACCTGCAGATTCAGGTTTAGAACTTTTTTACAAGTGACTTAGAAATTCAGGTCTTACTGTGATGGAAGTTAAGCATTTAAATGCCTAGTGAAATTTTCAAAAGTGGTAACTGTCCAACTTTGTCAGTAAGTACCTAAATTTTACAGCCTGGCCCTAGGGATATTTGAAAAACTTATCTTTAATTTCTCTACGCCTCCTTTCTCTGTTCATAAAAGGAACATATTATTCTCTTTCCTCTCTAGCCTTTCTGAGATTCTAAGCTCTCACCAGGCAGAAATTGTCTATTCCTGTCTGTGCATCACAATGGGACACTGTCTCACCTGATGCTTATTATTTCTATCAGAGTAGTGTTTATACTAATTTAATCCATTTGCTTCTAAGAAAATGCTATTTGGGCTGCCATTTACAACTCCCAGAGGCTAAAAATAATAATAATTTGAGTAATTCCTTAAGAATGTATCACTTTGTCAAAAACAACCAATTTCATTTGTATCATAACAAGTCTAGCAAAACTATAGAACTATTCACCAGCAATGAAGCCTGAAATTAAGAACTTTGTTCACTGACCTTCTTAACATGTTTGCTGAAGTAATCAGATATGCACAAACTCTTTACTTCATCTTTAATATCTACTTCTGACTGCACAAAAGTCTCTTGACTACCAATTAGAGATGTGCCACGAAACTGGACTCTGAAATTTTAAGCACGTACCAAGAAACTTGGTATATGGCAAGTGTTGGTATTGGGAAATTCAGGGGGGAAGAGAGGTGATGAACCAGTTACAAGAAAAAAAAAGAAACTCAGCTTTACCTACAGAAGTTAAAAGTCACAGCATCCAGGGATATTGCAGCATGAGGACTTTGTTCAACATACTTTAGATGTTCTTAATATTCCCATTTACACAGCTTTTATGGATAAAATACAGATAGAATATTAGAAGAAACCAATCATTAAGAGACATACTCCTTTTTTTCTTTCCATATCCTAGGCAGTTCTGTGAAAATCATAAATGAAAAGTGTATTCCCTTTTAAGTCAAGAGGATTTTTGCCATTGATCTGAATAAATTCTGGATTCCTCTAGATCATCTAGATGATACATTACTTTTCTGAGAATCGTTAATTAGGATGATCTTTCTTCTAGGAGAAGGAAAACATAACTTACTGTAGAGGTACTCACTGTAAAAACTTAGTCAGAGAGATCCACTGCAGGAACTTCCAAATAACAACACATACTTAAAAGAGAACTTACTGCCTCCAGCGTTTCCTTATGCTGCGGGTGAGTTAACAACAGGAATAGGAGACTTTTCCAGGAATACACACAAGCTGCCTGTCATCCTGATGCTGATCACCAAGCAGAGAAACAGCGGGTCAGCCACTGCAGGACCTATTATCTTCCTGGTACTCTACAGACATTTAGCCCAAAATGCCAGGCTTAGAAATAGATCTGAGAAGTGAAATAGGTTAGTTGCATGGAGAACAAACCCTGAGACCTTCACCTTTATTACTGAATTCTTATTAATGCATATCTCCCTGAAGTCAAAAGAATTTTGCCCAATCCCAAGTGCAACAGAAAACACAGAATCTGGCTAGAGATATGCGAAATACATGTCAATATATGTTAAAGTCTGCATATATATAAAATATATTGCAACGCATCAAGTGCTTTTACATGTTCAGAACTGGATATTTATTGCTGAAGTTTCTTTTCAAAACTCTTAGTTCACTTACATTGGTGTTTTTTTCAAAATAAGCTGCTACTGTGAAAAGACCTAATACTGCACTTCTCTCTGTAGCAAGTGAGATGCATTTCCTCCCTACCAGCTCCATTAGCACCACTTCCCGCATGGGCTATAGCGTTCAGTGCAGTTGCTGTGACACACGGTTATTAAACTCCATTGCAGGGGTCTCGGTGCTTTGCACGAGAGCAGGATAAATTACCTCCTGTAACATCTCCAAATACTGCAGTATGGATAATTATTACAGTCCACACTTGGAGCTGCTTTGGTGGGTTTCTAGAGTCAATAAGGAGCCCCTTGAAATCTCTTTAGTCCTACAAACTCTGAAGTCCAGTAGCAGGTGAACAGTTCCCTGTTGCTGACTGGGAAATTGTGTCCTTTGACCAGATAGTTCGCCGTCCTGACAGAATTGTAAAGTTCTGTTTTCTTTTTGTGACAGTAACAAAAATCAAAAATACATGTTAGTATCAGTTATTTATATTACTGCATATGTGTACTAGATGCATGTACATACTCATATATATATGTTAAATTAAATGTATTTTTGAAGTCACCTCGCCAGAAACACACACTTGAATTTAGAGCTAGAATTCTCAGAATAGAATGCAATGTGCCTTGTGACAGAGAAAGAAAGAAAAGAATACATGAGAGATTAGAAACCCAGGACAAAAGGCAG